CCCCAAAACCCCAAAACCCCAAAACCCCAAAACCCCTTTGTATTTATTAGTAATTGATTTATATGAGCTTACAGAAAAATGATAATGGGAGGTATTTCTATTTCTTCATATAAATACTTTAAACTACTTGGGAGATGATTATATTAATACAACCAAAAATTCATGAAAATTATTTAAGCACTAAATTACCCCAAGCTCCACTATTTCCTATTTTCCACTAAAAAATCACTCTTTCCTACATTTTTACTGTTAACAATCCATTAAACCTAGCAAAAGGAACAACTCCTCTTCATCCCATCAAAACTCCAACTTCCCAGGCCCCCCACACAGCCATCTCCCCCACACCCTTCCATCCCACAACCCCACCTCCACCCCCCTGCCCCCTTCCAGGCCCCCTTCCTCCCCCTCAGTGGCACCCCCTATGCCTCCTCATACTTCCTTCCAAAATCAGTGTAAGCCTACTTAAGCCCTTATTCAGCCAGCTTGGCTACAAATTTCTCGACTATGTAGAATTGTCCTGATGGCTTCTGTGAAATTGGGAATTTAGGATTGACTTAAAGAGAGGGGTTTAGATGAGATGTGAGGTGATTTTACAGGAGTTTGGACTGGTTTTTGGGTTGTTATGAGACTTATTTTTGACATAATGGTTTTGGGGTTAGTTTAGAGGAGTGGACTAAAGTTTGGGCAGTGTTTTATCTGGTGATTATTGGGGTTTCGGCTATTGTAAAAATTCAATGATACTTAATAAATGGTCAGTTTTTAGATATTCAAATTACATAACTAATGATCGCTTCTAAATTTTATTACAGCTTTGCCAGTAGACTGGGCTAGAAGACTTATTGCTGAAGATCCTCCTAAATACTTCGCTTTTCCTGGTAGCGAACAAAATGAACTTTATATAAATTCATTGCGTCAGCTTCATACATCAAGAAAAATAAGATACATTTTAACAGTCATGCAAGATTTGTTGTTCTTTGAAAGCCAGAAAGTCTCTAATGAAATTAAGACAAACTTTCTCCAGGATATAGAGCCTTTTAGGGAAATAATAAGAGGTAATCCTGAATTTTCAGGGCTCTTTGAGAACATAATGGCTGTAATAAGAGCTCAAGAGCCTAATGAGAATCCTTCAGGGCTTGCAAGCCGGAATAACCAGGCTGCAAGGGAAAAATCTGATAGCAACAGAGGTCTTAATGGTTCTGATGGAAGTTACAGGGATATCCACTTAGAACAAGTAGAGCAATCAGATAGAGAAGAAGAGAAAGATACCTGTTTACTGAAGAAGAGAGACAAGAAATTTTTAGAGAAGGAAATTAGTGAAAATAGAGCCAATTCCAGTAATATCGAGGAAGAGGATAATCATAGCTTAAATAGTTTTGATGATGCTTCAGAAGAAGAAGGTATAAATTTGTTTTAACTCTTAGAACGTATACCTCAGCTAAGACCAGCTAGAGACCCGCCCTCTGAGATTAGCAATCTAGAATCATTTGACGATTCAGAAAAATCAATTGCTGAAATACAGAATAGCGAAGTTCAAATACAACGCATTGAAGATTCAGCTTCTGCAAGTAATTCATACAAGCTAAATTTTAAGATAGTGAGAATGAGCAAATCAGCAATTTAGTACCAAAGAAAGCAGGAAAAACACAAAGGACAGTGAGGCAACCTGCCAAAATAAAACTTATTGATCTATCCCAAAGCAAACTCACAAAGAAGCAAGCTATTGAGTCAAATATGAAGTATATTGAGCTTATGAGCAAGGAATCTGTGTTTCCTCCAGATTTTATTTACTCAAAATTGTTTAAAATTGTCAAGCAGAATCTTAAGGAGTTCTTTGTGAATCCTGTAGACCTTGTTATAAACAGTAATGGGAATATCAGCTGGCCAAAGGGAGGCAAATAAGACTCTAGCTTATGGAACCTATGAAACAGAAGGTGGCTTTTATGGCTTGAATTATTATGCAACCCTTGGAGTTCGTTGAAACCAAAGCTCCTTGAATCCCACTAAGGGATCCATATCTAGTGGTTGCACAGATTCAAATAACTTCTGGTGGCTTCTCTCAAAGGTATACCTTAATCGCGACCTTCTCGAATCAGCCAAAGAATGCTTAGACTCTTTCTTCAGTGCAAAAGAGTATTCTAATAACAAAGAAGAGGAAAAAGGAGAGAATTTAACTCAACAAAAATCGATAGATGAGACTAAATTCACTAAACTATTTCAAAACTCCTGCCATGATTATAATTCCTTGATGAAAGAAGATGGAGATCTTGAGGGGCTGACTCAGGAACACATCTCTCAAGAACTCAGTTACCCCATCCCACCTCAGCATGACATCAGCCTTAGGAGTCAGATTAGATTTGAAAATGATGAAAATGGTTTGAATGAGTTAGAAGATCCTGAACGATTTAAAACTCTTCACTCTGAAAAGATAGATCCGATTCAAGACCTTATAACAACTATGAAAGAGGGATTCCAGATAGAGCCAAATGCAGATTTAACAACAACCCAGCCGTTCATAAAGAAGGAAGATATCATCAAATGTTCTGAAGAAGCATCCAACTTGGAGAATCAAGATAACGATTGAGACATCCAAGATCAGCTTATGATAGATCAAAATTTGGAGAATGAAGGAAGAGATAGCATCTCAAAGCTTGAACAGAAGATTGAGCAGATTAAAGAAAGCAAAATTCAGGAACTCCAGGTGTGTCTTAATAATCTGATTGAGCTGAATTGTACAGGAGCCATTAATGATGAAGAATTTCACTCTGAATTGGATAAAATTTTGGATCAACTAGGAGAACTGTATTATGGACAAATTGCTATCAGAGATGGCTTAGTGGATTTTTCTAAAGAATCTCAATGTAATGAACCAGAAAATGAATGATTAATGGGTGAAGAATCTTTAAGAAAATCTCAAAATGAGAATTTAGTAAACTCTAATCACCCACAAGAGACAGAATTAGAGATGCTCATCAGACATCTCCAGGTTCAACTTATTTCATGTAAATCATCAAATTTGCATTCATTCCAAGAACTAAAGAAGCAGACCATTACATCAAAAGCTATTGAAGAGCAACATGATTTTATTAAAATCCAAAAAGATTTCTCCAAATCTGCTGTGAAACCTTTCAAAGAGCTGTACTGGAAATTATTTGAACAATGCAGGCTTCTTCAGAAAGATATTAAACCCAAGATCCGTAAATATAGGTAAGCTTAAAATGAAACTCAGCTTTACTTAATAAGGATGAATGAAGTAATCATAGAAAATATGGATACTTGTAGCATAGGCAGTTACTTATCCTTAATTATTTCTCCTTACTAACCATATTTCCAATAATATTCACTTTCTTTTTCCTTAAGGTGGTTATTCACCAACCTTGAATCTAGATACAGGTACGGAGGTTGGAAAATAGCTGTTAATGCAAAACGAAAGCGTAGAAACCTCTCTATGTCCCTATTACCCGAAAATCTCTGCCCTAACCCTTCCTCCTACCACAAAGACACCCCATATCTCAGTGAAAAATCCGACGAAATTAATTTTTCCAAACTTCTCGAGTGAAAACAAGACCTTAAGAAATTCCAACAAAAAATCGAAGACTATTCCCTCAAAATGACCGCCAAAACAGAAACTCAGCTTAAGAAAGAAGACTCTGGGACCCCACTAAAAATTCAAGATCCTAAATTTCCCAAAATCCTAAAACAAGTAACCCCTGAGAAGAAGCAGCCAGATTTTTTTAAGAAGGAAGTGAAGGTGGAGACCGTACAGAAGGAAGAGAAATTAGAAGAAGAGAAGGATCAAGAAGGTTGACAGGAGTCTGAACTTGGAGGGGAAGAAGAAGATTTTGATATGGGTAATGAGGGACAGAGGATTGGTGGAGTAGAGGAAGAGAGATTAGTAAGGGAAGGGAAGAATTTAGAAGAGAAGGAGGTTATGGTGAAGTTGGAAGATGGATGTGAGGGAGGAAGGGGAGAGAGACAGGATTTGGCAGGTGGTGGTAATGGGGAGATTGAGGGGAAAGATACTGTAAAGATAGGCAAATCTGGAAGTTTTGATGATAAGTCTGATGAAATTATGGATGGTAATCAGATAAGTTCCAAAAATAAACAAGACGAGCTCTGTTCTAATAATCAAGTTGTAGATGATTCCCAAGATGTAATAATGGAGGATCAAGATGTGAGTGCATTTGAGTAAAGCAGTTTTCTCCCATAATACCTCACTTATAAATAGCTTCTCAAACCCTAAAACTTATTTCTCAGTGTGTGAGGTGTTAATAATCATTCTGTCAATAATCACTAAGTAAGCAGGGGTTTTGGGGTTTTGGGGTTTTGGGG